CACGCACACACACACACACACACTATATACATTTATGGACTCCTAAAATTAGCATATTCTTTTTTACGAATACATACTAATCAGAACTAATGAAATTATTATAATAAAAAAAGCTTGTCACAAAGCAAAAATATATTGTTAGCTTACAATTGATGAATTTGATGATTGTCCATTTAAATGACATATTATTGCATCATCATTCACTCTTAATATTATGCTAAATTTGTAACATTTTTTTAACTTTTTGGTATTTGATCAACAATCCATAAGAAGTGAAGTTGAACATTGAAGAACATCAATAAAGTAGAGAAAGAAAAGTAGCAATAATTTCTTTTTTCTATTCTTGAGTATATTTTACCATCTAATGTACAATCATTATACAAACAAAAATTGTGCAATTTGAAAAAGTTAATATAATTATTGTATACGAATTATTCAATTTACTATTATAGGTAATCAATATCCAACTACGAAATAAGCATCAAGAGAATATGACAGAGAATTAAATTTGATAAATCTAGTTAGTCAAAATTTTTCTTTGATTTATGATTGATTGGTGGAATCAATCAATTTTTTTAGCAGCAGTGAGCATAGACACCATGATTTAAAAAATTATATATGAAATATAGACAAATATGGATTGCATCGATGTAAAAATTAACTCTTAAAAGGAACGTACCTCAGCTTCTTCCAATGAAGAGAATAGACACAACTCAAAAATGATGAGTTTGTTAGAATTCGTGCTGATAACGTATTATAAAATAAAAATAATGTACAAAAATTAAGAAGATGATAGAAAGACACAAAGTAATAGTAGTAGTAACTTTCCTTTATTATTGTATGTTCTTTTACTTGTAGTTATCCTTTCATATTGCAAGAGGATATATATATATAGGCTACAAAACTTGCGCATAAGGTTACTTGGCCACAAAGTTTACTTGGACACGAAGTGGAAACTCCTAACCACTTTTATTTTTGTATAAATTAATATTTTGGACCCGTTTCATCCATTTAACTGTTGTGACTAAAAGATCAAACCGAAAATCTAACAATAAAGAACACCAAGTTTAACGTGGAAAAATCCTTCAAACCGAAGGTAACCACCACGGGATCGACAAGATCCAAATTGCTTCACTATACCAATAAGAGGGTTACAAATGTTCTTCTAATGGCGACACAACAAGTGCCAAAAGAGAACAAACAATAGCTACACCAACAAAAGATAAATAGAAAGAAACACCACCCAAATCTAGCTTCTATTCGGGACCAAAAATAGGATCTTTCTGACCTTCGAATTCAATCTCCACGTTCAAATCAACCACCATTTTGTAAGGAACACTCAGTACAGATTTTAGCCCGATCCAACGGTTAGTTAATCGGGAAGTACGATCTGAACGTTGCTGGTCGGAGAAAAAGACTGCAGCAAAAGAACCCTTTTCTTTCTCTCTTTTCTCTTGTTGAAAGCTCTCTCAAAAACCTCTCTTATGTTCAAATGTCTTTCAAAGACGATACCAATGAGCAATTAATTATTCTCTCAAGACCATTCTCTATTTATAGATTTGTGCTTTTTCCTTACAAAGTCAAAACCAACTACAAATAGGATTACAATTCCAATCCTTTTCCTAATAGAATTGGAAACCAAATAAAGAGAATAATTCCAATCCTTTTTCAAGTAGGATTAGGCCATGGACCTTAGGCTGGAACATGGGCAATAGCCTAACAAACTCCCCCTCCAGCCAAGGGGTCAAATAGACTTCAAGTGGAGGATCTTGGCAGGATTCATGCCTGTCGCACTTCTACAAAACTCATACTTATCTACGATCACCACTTTTGTAAGAATATCTGAAGGATTCTACTCAGTTTGTATCTTCTGAACCTCAAATAATTTCTCTTCTAGGGCCATTCTAATCCAATGATATTTTCTACTAATATGCTTGGAGTTAGAATGAAAGGTAGAGTGCTTGGTGAGATAAATAACACTTTGATTATCACAAAATAAGACAAATTTTGATTGTTCAAAATCAAGATCTTTGATAAACTCCTTCATCCAAAGAAATTCCTTGGCACCTTCAGTAATGACAATATATTCGGCTTCTGTGGTAGATAGAGATATGCACTTCTAAAGTCTTGATTGCCAAGAAATAGCTCCCCCTTCAAAAGTGATCAAATAGCTAGAAGTGAATTTTGAATTGTCAAGATTTCCTCCCAAATTAGAGTCCGTGTAGCATACTAGTTCAGACTTGCCACTACCAAAGCACAACTCCATATCTGACGTACCCTTCAAATATTTTAGTATCCATTTCACTGCACCCCAATGTTCTTTTCAAGGATTGGAAAAAAATCTGCTAACGGTACCAACAACATGTGCAATATCTGGTCTAGTGCAAATCATAGCATACATTAAACTACCAACCGCGGAAGAATATGGAATACTCAACATCTCATTCTTCTCTTCATTAGTCGATGGACTTTGAGTCGTACTCAACTTAAAGTGTTTAGCAAGAGGTGTACTAGCCACTTTTGTCTCTGTCATTTTGAACCTCTTGAGTACTTTCTCAATATAGTCCTTTTGGGATAAAGATAAATTCTTCTTGTGTCTATTTCGATAGATTTGTATGCCTAAGATCTTCTTTGTTGGCCCCAAGTCCTTCATCGCAAACG